TTGATGGAATGGTACAGAATATTTGAAAAATTTAGAATATCTTCAGTTTTTCGAAGCGAACCGAACTGCTTGAATATGATGGATAATGATCGAAAGTTCAGAATGAGCATATTTTAACTGAAGATTAGGATAGATCACAAAGGAGATAATGAATTTAATTTTTTCCCCTGTTCGCAGTCGTTTCGTCAATTGAATTCGAAAGGTTTGTCCACGACCTAGAGATATGAAGTAATGGCTGGCTATTGAATTCATCCAATTACATTTAGACTTCAGAAGATGAGTTCTGTCAATCAAATGAGTGCAAGCATGTGAAATTTCATTTTAAAAAAGCTTTCTTCCACTGCGGCATTATTGAAGATCATCAATTGTTGATTTGCGTCATCTCTGAATCATCGTGTATATTGTTGAGTGCTCATTATCAGTATTAATCATTGTTTGATTTATTGATAGTCGATTGTCTTTCGTAGTTTTATTTTGTTTTATTTCTGTTCCGTTGGTTTTTTTTNATTGTAGTCTTGAATTTTCATCATTTCGGCAACGAATTTTCATGGTTTTCCATTGGACGAGCAGAAAAGTTTAGGAGACATCTGACTATGTGTGAAATGAACCAGCCCTAAGCCGAGGAAGCGTAGGCTTAGCTTTGGGCTAACAATTAGGCTGAGACTATGGCTTAGAAACAGTCTTAGGCGCACAATTGCACTTGAACTTCAAATACTTTCCATTCGGCGATATTCGATGCTGTTCAGTCTAATGATGCGACGATTCTCTTTATGGTTTAGAAGTACAAAATCTCACGAGTTTAACGTAATACTCGTGGTGATGATAATAATGATAGTGCAGAAACGCTATTATGAATATATCCTCCGTTTAATTACTGTTATTACAGCTCGACTCTGTGATGTGTTTTGTTCTCGATTACCTCCGTTCACATGAACTTTTCGTTTTATTTGGAGACTTGTTTCAGTTCAAATGATGTAGTTGTTCATTGTTCAGTAATTGGTCTGCTTAAAAATATTCTGCTGAATTCAAATACTTGGTTATGCGTTTTTGTTAATGGCTTGTTTCGATTGTTGATTGAATTTAATGGAAGTTTTGATGAGAAGATATCTGGCTGGAATCGTCTTAAAAGATTTTCCACCATTTTTTTACACCTAACAATTTATCACTATTGTTAAATTACACCTAATTGTTCATTTTTAATGATATTGCCTACTTTCGGTATTGTTGATGATTTCGTGCAGCAGTTAAATAATGCATTGAATGTGCTGCCGTATTTATTTTATCACTGTACATTGTGTAATATCTGTGTGAAAACGGATTGATGCGTATGTGGAATGCTAACTGATATTATGGATAAGGGTGTGTATTTGGATTTTTGTTGATGTATCAGTTTTGATTATGTAATACCCAATTGTTAATTTATTATTTTTCTTCATTGTTTCTGTTGTTGTCGTCGTTGTTTTGATGTATGTTCGAGTGTGCATAGCGATACTGTTGTTTTTGAGAAGATTTCTGTAATTAATTTGCTCTGTGCTGCTGCTGCTGCATTGCGACAAACATGAAGAGATATTGTGCTCTAGATCTTTCTACAATTGTTTTCATTTTAAAGGCCAGACAATGGTATTATTTATTATTATTTTTCGATACTTGTAATATCGTATTATATAATTACCAATTTGGTTTAATATAGCGGTAATAGTAATGAAAGTGAAACTCATCACTGTTATTGTTAAGATGGTTTATTTGTTCAATATGTTAAAGAGTGTTGGTTTCTTCACATCGATCATCTGTACTATTCGTGTGTCTATCTCTGTCTTCTTGTACTGCTACAAGTATTTGTTTCATTTTTTGTTGTGCTGTGTTATTGGAAGTTGTTCTCAATCAGTTTTGTTTATTTTTGAGGAAAACTTGTGAGCGTGACAATGTGACGATTTCATTTGTTCAGGTTGTATTAAACATATTTAAATCATTTTTGAAATGTTATATGTGCTCTCGTAACCTACATTGAGTTTGAAGATGAGTTGATCACGTTTAGATAATTGCGGTCTTGAGGTCAGCAATGTGTAGAGAGATCAGTTTGTAATCTCAAAACGGGCGATTTGTCACACTTATCGATCACATTTGTGAGATAGTCCCCCAGAAAAATGCGGAAAAGAAGGAAGCCCTCATGAACGAAAATCTGAAGTTATGATTTATTTGGAACACTCATGAGTAATTCGACAGCGGAGAAAAATGCTACGATCAGGTTATTTCAGTTCTTAGAAATACGAAAATAATACATTGAGAGCGTTATTTCTGCATGTTATTTGATACTTAATGTAGTATTTTCGGATGGAATGTTCAGTGATCGTCCACATACATATGTTGTCATGTCAGTGAGTAATCAGTGAATAGCATTTGAAAATTGTTTAAAATGATTAGGCAGTTTTGTATATGTTCGTTGAATGTTACCCGTGTTGTTTTGGTGCGGAATCTTTGAAATGAGCATCTCCACTGGTTCGGTTTCATGCAACAAATAAAAAAGTTTCTACAGTTTTACGCTGTGAACTCTTGTGTTTGACTCGTTCTGCATAATTTGCTATCATCACCGAAATGCGTTACAGTCACATCGTACCTTCCATTACACTTCATGTCTCAAATGATATTTTCATGTTTCAAACAAAACTTTTTGAATGCTGATTCCGTTTGATTTGGTATAGAGAGGATGTTTCACTGTTTATCTGGATTTGCTAATTGATTCATAATCGTTCATCATGACTATGGTAATGCTAATGGCCATTCCAATATTCTTCATATAAATGAAAATAATAAAGGCAGTCGAAACGTATGCACTGATTACGAGTAATCAGAGAATCATTCAAGTTACAATAAATTTCTTGTCGTCCAGCAAGCAACAGGAATGCTGAATATGCGAAAACTTCCCTCAAACAGTTTATAGGTAGACGAGAGGAGGTGATTTCAAACTTGTATAAACTACAGTCAAAGATCATTCCATCGTATACAGATGTATCGTAACTCACCTACCCTATTCAAATGCTTGTCTTTACGAGCGATTATCCCACCTCAACAACGCCTACTTCACGGAACACCAGCACTCTTGGCTGGTTTCAAAAAAGGTCGTGGTACCGGTGATCAAGGTGAGAATTCATCCAGTATTTGGAAGGTATCACTGATTGGGTAAAATATTCTTGTTGATTATTCCTATCAGATCGTTCAAAATGACCTCATAAAGTGGATGTGTTCTTTGGCTTTCCAGAAGTGCAATTGCTTGACAATAATACTTAATTGAAGAGTTCTTGATAGATTGTATTTGTGTTTCTGCAATTGATTCGATTGTATTCATTCGAATGTTCATCATTACTGTATGGTTAAGGCAAAAGCAGTTTATTCTCAAATGAACGTCGTTGGAAGGACGATTTTGCGTTTCATGCTCTGGGAAATGTCGATGAACTTAGCTCTAGTATTGGGTGGGTGATTTTTGTGATTGATTGATTCCGCTGTTTGCACATTCAATTGTTCACTTTGTTTATCCATTAGCCGTTTATTCGGTTTTGTTGATTTGTCTTCCGTCTCAGTATTGTTCCTTTTATCCACCCAATATGCTCCACAAAACGAGTGTCACTTGAAATATAATCGTAAATAAGTCAAAGTTAACTGGATACAAACCAAATCATAGCCTGGCTCAGGCTCGTTAACATTATTAGTGACATTGGTATACTACTGGATTTCGAGCGAAACCTTACCGTGCGAGCCGAATTTAAACTCGTGGTGTACCCTTTATTGGTTGGGTGCTATCCTCTGAACTATTGCGGAGATCAATCAGCTTCCACCGAGTGCGGATGCATTGAGTTTGCAAACAACACGATAAGGTTATGTGTTGAAGAGTGTGTCGTGAGATGTTGTTCAATGAGGGTCTATTCGACGTTTGCGAGGTGCTCACTCGTATCCAATGCTGTCTGCAAGATGTTGGCGCACACGTGGCCACTCCACCCGATTCGTTGAAGTCGAAAATTGCGAAGACGAAATTCGACGAGTCTCTATTCGATTACGTAAACAAGCAAATCGATGTGTACGGTGATCGTATTCCACCGTTGAAGCAATTTGTGCTACCGGTCAGCAACTTCATCATCATGTCCTTCTTATTCTCCTAACTTCATGGCGTTCCTGTAGAAGAAGGGTCCGTATAGGGAGGAGTGGAATTACCATTTCTGGTTAATTTGCGGATGTCAGGCGAGTAATGGGGGATCGGGAAATTAGACGTTCTGACGTTATGCGCGGAAATGGTAAATCATTATAAGGGGAAGGGGGAGAGCGGTAATGACGACCTATCAGACCATCGCAAAGCGTAGTGGAGCACCCGAGCTTAGGGAAATGAATTATGTTTATGAGCGATTGAATCGCACTGTAAATATCGTTTGCGGTATGCAATACAAATGAGCTGTATTTGTGATGAAAGTACTGTTTATGACTTCAGGGTGGTGGCAATGTGGGTGCTGCACTTCAGGTGACACGTACCGTTTGCAGACGTGCCGAACGAAGTTTGGTACCGTTGATCAAGGACGACGCAATCGACAAGAATGCTCTTCGATTCCTGAATAGGTATCAGTCGATTGTTCATAAATGAATGCCAAATCAAATAGTAATGTCAAACGTGATCAGAGTTTGGTTCGAGTATGAAACTTAAATGATAATGATGACATTTTTTTTAGATTATCCGATCTGCTGTTTGTGTTGGGTCGTTATGCATGCGATATAACGAACAGCACTGAGGCGATCTATCAACGTCCTCAGCAGTTCGATCCGAATATCAAGTGGAAGACTCAAAAAGTACATACCATCAGCAGCTCTTAAGCATTCAATTTGCACTTTTCAAGTGTGCTGCCATTCGATCGTTGATACGCTTCAAAATTTAATCAAATTTGGATGCAAATTCTTCTGTGTTCGACAGTCAGAAAATGTGATCTTTAAAGAGGCTCGAGTATAGAGGATTATTTCTTTGTATATTTGTTTAACTGAGTAATATTTACATGAATGAATAGTACAGTCTTGTAGAGCATTCTGTATTGTGTTTGTTTTTCGTTTGTGTATGAGGCAGCAGTTTTATATGAGCTTATTGATAGAATTGGTGATGTGATTGCATCTTGTTGATTAGGAATATGCTAACGTGTAGTATTTAAGCAAAATTTATTTCAAAAATTCAAGTTTCTTGTTAAGTTACGATTATTGCTATGATTTTCATTGATACGCGTATGCATTTCTTTGTGATATTGTGAAATCGTCTCCATCGGTTAAAATCTTGTATTTGCCTTCATCTCATAAGAATTTGTATCCTCATTAAGATTGATTCATGCGGTAGAAACCAAATCTTTGTTGTCTTTCTCAGTTCACCATGTGTATTGCTCCAAGAAATACGGTTGATAAATTTTATATTGAAATTGAGAATTATGCAATAATGCACGAAAATTACATGTGCGAGTGACTGGTAATTTGACAGAGCGATTGAACTGATTTATTTATCAACGTTACGGTTCAGCAGGTGTAATGTGCAGTTCAAACTTGTGCTCAGATTGAAAAATTTTTTATAGAATGATTCGATTTGTGGGAACTCTCCACTTTCACACTGCTTTCAGTTCAGACTTTCAATTTAAGGCAAATAATTTTCGTTGGAATAAACCGTTCTCATTTGTGTTTAACAGTCTTAATTTCACGGATTCACTGAATCAGTGTGATAAAATTTGGAAATCAAGTGAAATTCTTGTCATATCCGTGCAATGCGTTCGGTTAAGACAGTTTCATGAATGAAAGTTTTTGTCCACCAACAAAGTGCTCCTCATATATCGTGGAATCATTATCTTGTGTAGCTCTGGGTTGGTCAAAATTTCTTAAATTTGCCTCACATTCTATCTTCTAAGTAAGCAAACAGAACCTCTAAGTAATCTCATTGGGTCATTAGAATTACGAACTTTTCCAAATCATATATTCTAAAATTTTAGCTAATGAACTAAATAAACAGAAGCTACCTAACACATGACCCACTCAATCAAAATTTTCATCAAAACTATCGAATCGCTCACAATGAATAGTCCGACCCAAAATTTACGAATCTCTCTATTTCGCTAATCTCCAAAAATAGGAATGAAATGTTGATTAGACATCGTTTGATTGAGCAGAACCTCTGCTTCCTGAAAATGAAATCTTG